CAAATTTAAAAGAAATGCTACTGGCCACAACTAATGGCTCACAGAACAACACCACATTTGTTACAATTGTCAATTAGCCATTTCACTTAGAAGGTGTTTAGAAAATGACTTTCTTTTACTAAGTACAGGCTGCCTCTTAAAGATTTCCTGTCTCCTTGTTCTCAATCATGTCCCCAGTCAACCAACATGAAGAGCAAGTGTATTAGTCAGAGTTTTCCAGAGTGAAAGAACTTATAGAATGACTCTTTATAGATATACAAAAGGGATTCATTTCCAAGTAAAAGAACTTTTAGGATGGCTACATTTATGTATATGGGATTCTTATAGGCTATGGTCTAACTAAGCCAACAATGGTTGGCTATGAATAGAAAGTGTGAGAATCCAGTGGTTGCTGTTTCAGCCGGTTTTCTATATAGGCTGGAATCCCGAAGAATCAGGCTCTAATACTGGTGAAGGAATGGACTTGCTATCAAGGTGGAAGCAAGCATGCAACGAGCAAAGGCTTCCTCTTTCCATGTCCTTATACAGGCTTCCAGCAGAAGGTGTGGCCCAGATTAGAGAAGGTTTTCCCAGTTATATTATCTGGATGAAAGGTATGTCTTCCTACCTCAAGATCCAGATTAAAGGCATGCCTTTGCCTAGCTCATATGATCTGGATTAATCACATGTCTTTGTACCTCAAAAGTCTGGATTAGAAGTGGCTCTTCCTGGTTCAAACTAAGGAAAAATCACTCACAGGTGTGCCCTCCATTTTGAGGTTTTAGTTCATTCCAGACATTGCCAAGTTGACAACCAAGCATGAAAATCACAACAAGCAAGCGTTTCTCCAGGAGAGGAATAACATCAGATTTTGAAGGCCTTTTCAGTTGAAGTTGTGTCTGTCATATTGGGGGACCCTGGTGTCATCAGCCTGGCATCCGTATGCATTGGGGACAGTACTCTTAGTGAGAGAAGAAAGAAAATTCATTTTTATGAACTCAGTTTCAACAATTGGTCTCAACTAATTGTTCATTTACTCAACAGCCTGGGACAATTCAATGCAAATGAAGTGTAAACAAATCATGGGGGAGTAGGTGAAGAAGGCACTATGACTCTTCCTGTTCCTAACAGGGCTAATTTTTTAGCAAAGTAATAGTTGCTTTGCACATAATCATTTGAAAAGATGCCCACAGCAAGGAGTAAAATCCTGCAGGTGTGGCTTGGACATGGCACGCAGGTGTATTGAGTTTCCTCCATGCATGTATTTTTAAGGATATGTTTTCTTCTTAATGTAGATTCTGGAAGGCTTTTAGAAATTCAGGTTTTAGCTGACTCAACTGAAAGGAGTAATGGAACTCAAAGACCATTATTGTGATCTAGTTATAGAAAAAATATAAGTGTGGACTATAAACTTAGTAGTCTTTAAGAGGAGCTGACAGCAAGAAGAAACACAAGGACAGAGTCACAGCAGGAAAAAAAATTGACATGGAGAAAAGATTCTTGCAGCTTAAAGTACGTAATGCCAGTTCTACTGCACAAATGTAGGGACATCTTGTCATTGTAGACTCAACTTCTTAGGGGGAAAATGCTTTATTAGGTGTGGAAGTTTAGGGATAATACCACACTTTATCAACCATGACTAATTAATTATAACATAAAGGGTGTTGTTCTAAACCACAGCTTAATGGCTGCAAGACACCAATTAGATTTTTCTAATAACCAAATGCAATGATTTGAGGGTGTTGCATCTTAATTAATGCTGCAAGGAGTACTATTTTAAAATCCTGGCTGTTTTCTTGTGGGTTCCTAGTGTGTGTCACTGGAATGATATGCTATTTGTTTGCGTCCATCCACAGCCATTTCATCCACTGTGTGTACTTTTCTGCATTCACATAACAAAAACAGGAGCTATATTTAAGTTCAATTAACTCTAAGCGATCATATTTCATTATCTTTAACTATATTTTTAAGAATTAGCTTACAATGCAGCAGATTTCAATGTGTAATTTATTTCATTTTGACTGACTGTCTCCTTTTCCTCATCTCTGAGCTCTCCCTTCCTTAGTGTGGCTGCCAATATTCTCCCTTCCAGTTTCATCTTTCATTCCCACCCCCTTTTTCTAAAGCCTCTTTTCTTCCCTGTCTCTTGGGGCCCTCCCTATTTTCTGTCTTTACTTCCACCTGAATCCATGTATTCATATGGGAACGCAAAAGACCACAGCTAGCCAATGTAACTCCTGACAGAAAGAACATGGCTGGAGGCTTTGACCTCAAAATATACTACAGAGCCATAGTGATAAAAAATTATCACATCAGCATAAAGACAAACATGCAAACCAATGGAATATAGAAGAAGACTAGATGGGGGAATTAGTGTGGAAGCTTCTCAAAACATGAAAAACATAGCATAATATGTAACATAGTATATTAAAAACACTGCATAATCCGAGGCATTGGCCCAAAGATATCCCACCACAAACATATCTGCCCATCCATGTTCATTGCTGCTGTAGTCACAATAGCTAAAAAAATGAAATAAACCTGTAAGTCCATCAACATATGACTAATAATGAAAATGTACACATACACTATAGAATATTATTCAGCCCTAACTTTCTAGATTTTCATTTACTTTCAATGAGTTCTTCAGCATAGAACTAAATGGTGAAGGAACTTAAAAAATGTCTTTAATCGGGTGTGGTGATACTTGTCTTTTATCCTGGCACTCATGGGGCAGAGGCAGGTAGGTCTAAATAGTGAGTTTCAGGACAATCAAGGCTATATAATGAGATCTTGTCTCCCCCAAACTAAAATAAAAACATACAAACTCTGGCATTTCTAAATATCAAGAAAATGTATCTTAATTCCCAATTTCATGAACAAATTATAATATGAGTATTTTTCTTGAGCTACAAAATGTTTTAAGTGTATGCTGCTAGTACTGTTGAGGGTTCATCCCAGGTCTTGCAACAGCTAACAAGATTAGTCTCACACCAGATGTGGTTTTAGTCTTAACAAGCAAGAAATAAAAAGTGAACTAGAAACTCATTACTGTCTACATAGCACCTCTCTCAAACATAGATAAAAGTAATTCAAATTTCTATGATGAAAATGTATTATTTTTTATTTAGCTAATTAGTAATCCCTACTGTTCCAAATGGTATGTAAAATGTTTATAAAATCTATATAATAATGCACAAGATGAATGGAAAATATCATAGAAAACATGTTTAACAATGCAATAGCATCCAGGTGTGGAGGAACACTGTGTTCTCAGCACTGGAAAGGTAGAGGCAGGAGGACCATCACAGGCTAGAGGCCAGTCTGAGCTACTGGTTGAAATCCCGTCTAAAAATTTGTCCAAAACTCTGTCTCAAATACTATGTGGTAACATATATTAGACTTCATGGCCCACTCTTAGAGTTAGCAACACATGGTATTTGGAAAATATCTCAAGGTGATCAGCATAACATTTTGTGAAAATAGAATTTTATTTCTAGTAAATTTATAAATTATTTCACAGTTTTATCAACTAGTCTATAAACCTGTAAACAGTAACCTTCTTTATCTTTAATTTTGTTTTCTTTTGTTTTTGTTGAGATAGGGTCTCTCTACACAGCCCTGACTGTCCTATAACTCACACATGGAACAGGCTAGCCTCTGCCTCCTGAGTGGGATTAAAGGCATGTGCCACCACACTCAGCTAACCAACTTTTTCATAATTATTTAATTTTAAATTACCTGGTCTGATTAAGGAGATGTGTAGAAAAGAACTTTCATGTTGCCACTCTTTTGGGAAACCGAATTAAATAGAATTAGTAACAAGAGAAACTGACCAATGACAAAATGCTTACATCTTTACTTTCTAAGTGTAAGTCTTTGGAAAAGTTCTGAGTGAGAAATGAACAAAACTCTACTGGATAGTAACTGGTAGTCAGGTCATTTCAATAACAGCATCTTTAATTGCAGATTTGCCTCACACGGAGAGAAGACTATGATAAATGCACAGTTGTCTTATGGCAGCATGGAAAACTCGAGAACTAAAGAAAGACAGCAATACCCTGAGAAACTTGATGTCACACACCCTGAAATGTATTCTTGGGCAGAAATTGAGGAAAAAACTTTGAATGAGGTGAATTAATCTTTGGTAAAATCTCATCCTTTGACTTTATTTCACCAATATAACCTGTAACACTCCCTCCATTTGACACATATAGTTGTGTTTTGCCTATGGACAGGGACACAACCTGAGAAATGTGGTCTTTGAACTTTCACTTGAGAAACACTACAGTCCTGTGCTCACACAAACTCTATGCTTGCACAATCCCTGTACTCTACCACAGCACTATGTCCAGCAGTCTGGTGGGACCACTGTGTACATGTGCCACATGAGGGACAAGAGCATTCTGTGGCACGTGACTTTTATTTAGACTTGAAATGTCAGGTCATCCTAAAAGAAATTGATTTTTGTTTGTTGTAAATCTTGGCTTATAGTGGATGCTCATCGTATATTTTCTGGATGATGGTGTGCAAGGTAAGCCAAGGGCAACCTGTAGTGGCATCTTGCCTGTGAACCTGCATAGGTGACCACATCCCTTTAGGCTTGGCTTCAGGCTAACAGAAGTGGAAAGAGGAAAGCGTGAGACGCGGTCTCTCTCGTGGGCTCTTTCTCTTGGGTCAGGGGATCTGATTGGAAGGACAAAGAAATGTTCCCCTGTTCTTTATTATTATTATCTGTGAAAGTGTCCCCCAATAAACACCCATGTATCATTTATCTTGGGTCTAGTGAAATCATTACACCCTGGCCTTCAGCAACACCTAGGATAAATGTCAGTTTAGGCATTTTTATGCTAAAACACAGGCTTACTTAGCTTTGGAATTATAATGATGTTAGTTAAATGTTTTGTAATATAATGTTAATTCCTCTGCCTACATGAAAGAACTTCTTTTATTCCTTGATAAATTCAGCTGTCACTCAAGAAATTAGAATCTTCCTGTTGCTGTCAAGAGACACCATGATCATGGCAATTCTGATAAAGGAACAATTTTAATTGGGGTAGTTTACATTTTCAGAAGTTTAATCCATTATCATCATGGTGGGACATGGCAGCAGGCAGGCAGAGAAGGTGATGGAGAAGAAGCTGAGAGTCCTATGTCTTGCAGGCAACAGGAAGTGGTCTGAGTCACTGGCCAGTATCTTGAGCATATATGAGAACTCAGAGACCAACTCCACAGTGACATACATCCTCCAATAAGATCATACCTGCTCTGCCAAGACCAGACCTCCTAGTAGTGCCACTCCATTTGGAGGCCATTTTCTTTCAAACCACCACATTCCACCTCCTGGCTCCAAAGACTTGTAGTCATATCATAATGCAAAAATGCATTCAGTTCAACATCAAAGTCCGCATAGTTTATAACAGTCTCAAACTTACTTAAAAGTGTAAGGTTCAAAGTCTCTTCTGAGATTCATGCAATCTCTTAACTGTAATCCCTTGTAAAAATAAAAATAAAAACATGTCCATTTGTTACATTTTATGAATTTTTTGGTTTTTACTTTCTTCCATTTTTTGCGTTTTTTGGTTTGTTTTTTCTTCCATTTCTTACATTTTTTGGTTTGCTTTTTCTTCCATTTCTTGCATTTTTGGTTTGCTTTTTCTTCCATTTCCTGCCTTTTTTGGTTTGTTTTTCTTCCATTTCCTGCCTTTTTTGGTTCGTTTCTTCTTCCATTGCTTGCTTTATTTTTTCTTCCATGTCTTGCATTTTTTGTTTTGTTTCTTCTTCCATTTCTTGCATTTTTTGCTTTGTTTTTCTTCCATTTCTTGTATTTTTTACTTTGTTTCTTCTTCCATTTCTTGCATTTTTTGCTTTGTTTCTCCTTCCATTTCTTGCATTTTTTGCTTTGTTTTTCTTCTATTTCTTGCCTTTTTCGCTTTGTTTCTTCTTCCATTTCCTGCCTTTTTGGATTTGCTTTTTCTTCCATTTCTTGCATTTTTTGGTTTGTTTTTTCTTCCATGCCTTGCATTTTTTGCTTTGTTTTTTCATCCACTTCTTTGAGGGATTTTCCTATATCCTCTTTTAGGGTCTCTATCATTTTCATGAAGGTGGTTTTAAGGTCATTCTCTTCTGCTTCATTTGCATTGGAATGTTGGAGTCTTGCTGGTATGTCATATTTGTTTTTCTGTTGCTGAGTTTGTTTTTGTATTGTCTCTTTCCCATCTCTTCTTCTGGTGGGTGCAGAAAGAGCCCCTTACCGGTTTGGTGGTTAGGGGACCAGAGTTCCCTTCTGGTGGGTGCTAGCAAGTCCAAAGGGATTAAGACTGGGCTGGTTTAACCCCCAGAAACAGCTGATCTGACAAGGGTTAACTCTTGAATCCCAGACTGATGCCTGGGAATCCAGCATGGGGCTGGTCAAGGCCCCCTGAATGGGGGTATCAGTGAGGAAGCCTAGGCAATCTACGGGGCCTTTGGTAGTTGACCAGTATTTATTCCTGGCATACAAATGGACATTGGGTGCCCATCCCACAATGAGAGATGCACTCTCACCCTGGACTCTTGGGGGAGGTTCTAGGCCCTGTCCTGGATGAAATGACAGACTATGGACAACCCCATGAAAGAACTCACCCTCCCTGGGGAAAGAAGGAGGTATTGGGTGGGTGGTGGGAGGGGGTGGGAGGAGGGGAGGGAAAGGGAGAGGGATATGAGATTGACATGTGAAGAAACCTTGTTTCTAATTTGAATTTAAATTTAAAAATAAAAATTTTCAATATAAAAAACATGTCACACACTTCCGACATATGCAGGCACAGGATATGCTTTATAATTGTAAACTAGAGCAGGGAGCATAGTGAGGAAATACTGGACCATAGCAAGATTGAAAATTAGCCTGGAAAACTCCAAATTCTTCCTCTCCAGTCTGATATCAAAATGCTCTTCAGACCTCCAGCTCCTTTCAGCTTGTTTACAGTAACACACTTTTTCTCTTGGGCTGGTTCTCATCCCTGTTAGCAACTTTCCTTGGCAGGTATCCCATGGCTCTA